ATAGCCGCACTTCAATTGACTGAAATGTTCAGCACTAAACATGGGAATGCGAAATATATTAGAGATCCAATGGAAAGTGTTTGCTAAATTTGATATAGCCATAAAGCAGCTATCAAATGTGCATGTTAACTGTTTATTGCCAGCCAGCTATTGGCTGCCTGCATCTATGCTAGCTATTAGTAATATGAGGCAATGAGTAGCAATAGATTTAACAGCTAGTTAAATATGTGCGGGGCATTGAAGCAGAAGTACCAATTGCTCATAGCTGTCGTTAGCTCTAGAAATGCAACTTATTGATAGAGCGACATCTAGTCAAATATTTGCTGGCCTTCAATTAATCGATCACACTCTAGCTAAAGTCTTGGCCTTGTTCTTATCATTTTATTTGACTATTGGTTAGCATTTCACTAACGCTCCACGAGTGCAAACAGGAAGAGTTAGCAGGTGCATGTTAGGGCATTTACTGTTCGTATTTAACATTTCATTTAATTGCTTACTGCACACACACACACACACACACACATTGAGTTTTTTTGATGCGTTTGCATGTTTCTTGTCGCTGAATTTTGTATCTGTTGTTTCTGTCGCAGCGTGTGTGTTGGCCATCTATTTATAGATGTTTGCTTCAGACTTGGCTATTACAAAATGCATATAACTGTTGCCTATTCATTGGTGCTCCCCATCATGTTGTTGTTGTTGTTGTTGCTGCTGTTGTTGTCAGTTGTTGGACGTTGGCCAGCTGTCGGACAGCCTTAGCCCCCCTCTTGACTCCTAGACTCCGATTCGACTTCTAGCTGCTGCATTTTGGCCCGTTTTGGTACGAAGGGCAACTGGCTGACTAATTGTTGATGTGACGCTGCTCGATCGTTCGCTTCACGCTTCACGCTTCTCACCTCTTGCTGCTAGCCTCTCAACAATTCTTCCCAGCGTTTTTAGACATGTTTCCCAATGTCTCACATTTATCCTGTCTCCTCAATCTCTATCCCTATCTCTCTCACTCCTCATATTTTTCTCGATATCTATCTCTATCTCTATCTCTATCTCTATCTCTATCTCTATCTCTATCTCTATCTCTATCTCTATCTCTATCTCTATCTCTATCTCTATCTCTATCTCTATCTCTATCTCTATCTCTATCTCTATCTCTATCTCTATCTCTATCTCTATCGCTATCTCTATCTCTATCTCTATCTCTATCTCTATCTCTATCTCTATCTCTATCTCTATCTCTATCTCTATCTCTATCTCTATCTCTATCTCTATCTCTATCTCTATCTCTATCTCTATCTCTATCTCTATCTCTATCTCTATCTCTATCTCTATCTCTATCTCTATCTCTATCTCTATCTCTATCTCTATCTCTATCTCTATCTCTATCTCTATCTCTATCTCTATCTCTATCTCTATCTCTATCTCTATCTCTATCTCTATCTCTATCTCTATCTCTATCTCTATCTCTGTCTCTCTTTCTTTCTTTATCACTTTATCTCTCTCCTTCTTTATCTCTCTCCCTCTTTATCTCTCTCTCTCTCTCTCTCTCTCACTCTGCTTCTCTCTTCTCTTTGCTTTTCTCTCCTCAGCTTTTCTTCGCTTCTCCCACCTTTCATCCCTCTGGTCATTTTGCTCTTCTCACCTAGCTCATCGGTTGTTTCTCCTCACTTCCCTGTCCTTACTTCTCACTATTCACTTCACTTCACTCCTGCCGCTCCACTTGTCTCGCCCTCATAGATCTCAAATGTAATGCACGCAAGGCGGAAGCGCCAACCGCTGTCAATTGCCAAAGCCAACACACTTTGCGCTATCTACGGCTATCTGAGGCGGATGGGCAAGGGAAGCGGCGGGTGGTCGACTGTGTATTAGGTTTAGTTATTTGCTTAAATTTAATGCATGCGCCAATTGTTGCTGCTGCTGCCGCTTTTGCTGTTGAACTTGAGCTCAAGTGTCGTACGTTTGGGCAAATGACAGCAGTAGCAACTGTTGCCGCTGGGATCGAGACACGAACAGCAACAGCAACAGTTGCCAGGAGCTGCTGGATTCCATAGAAATTGCAAGAGATCGCACATGCCAAACAGATATATATCTACATATATGCCGATATATGTGGCAACACATGGGCTGCGCTGTGTGGCAACATCTTGCGTCCATATGTTGTGAAAACAAACAATTGAGACAGCAGCTACAACTACGGCGAGAGTCGACAACATGCGAAAGAAAGCAGCCAAATGAAATGTATCTCAAGAATTGATTTGCTCAGCGCAAAAACCAAATACAAAGAGTACAAAATTCTGTGTATAAAAACATAAAACAAAAACCCAAAACGAATGAAACGAATGAAACGAAACAAAATGAAAGCAAGCTCTAGCCTGCAAGTTTTGTGGCAACTGTTTGCTGTCGTTGCAAATATTTTGACAGGCAGACAGCGAGATGGACGGACGGACGGACGGACGGACAGGCACGAAACCTGATGACATGCAGGCCACATCTGTCAGTCGACATATATATATAACAAATATATCTATGTGCATACACATGTCCGCGTATCTACAGCAGATGCCCAACTAGATGCTCTCGCTGACTTGTAGATACATTTGTATCCCATGACTGTGATTAGCAGTGCGCGGCTAAATGCTGCCGGCGCCAGCTGCAACATTTCTTTGTTTTAACTAACGATTGTTAATTGGATTGGTCGCCTGCATAGCGATGCCTTCAAGCGACATCTAGCGTTCAAGCTGATCATTTCACGCACGACACCTGTTGCCAAGTAAATGCAATAATCCTTATATAGATATATTATAGGTAGAGCTAGAGTCTTGGCACCAACACTGAGCTACAATGCTGTTAAGCTCGCATATATTCAGCTGTTAGCTCATCCTTCACTCTGTTAAACAGTTCATGTAATGTAACAGTGTAGTCTGTTGAGAGTCAGAAACTCAACTGTCAGACTGTTAAGCTCGCATCTGTTAAGCTGTTAGCTAATCCTTCACACTGTTAAACAGTTCATGTAATGTAAGCGTATGGCTGTTGAGCTACAGCTGTTAAATTATTCACTTAGCTTCAACCTGTGCGTATGCGTATTCTGTAAACATATTACGCATACGCCGGATGTAACGACATGCATATACATATGATTATATATATATAGATATATGAATATTTATACATGTACATCTCTCTCATAACTCTTTGTTGCTGTTCCCATTCGTTGGCCTGCTCTTATTTTGCTCTGCTTCTTCTACATTTGTTTTTCCTTTTGCAGAACCGATAAGCCCTCAGTTACAGCTATTGGAGTTATGCTTTACTACCCCCACAATTCTTTTTTTTCACATTTCTTCGTCTTCTTCTTCTTCTTTTTTTTTTTTTTTGAAATGTTAATTTAAGAAATTATTTCATTGCGAGACGACGACAACGTTGACTTCTTCGACTACATGTCATTAACACTCTGATAAGACGGCTATCAGCCATTAGCTATCAGCTCATTATGATGGCCACTCACACTCACACACACGCACATGCACACACACGGCCACCGATAGAGAAATTAGATGACAATCGAACGCCTTTTATAATTGGCAAAACAAATATTTTATTCTAAGAAGGAAAAAAAAAAACAGATTAAAATATCACATTTGTGAAATCGAAATTAGCAACGAAAATAAATTCTTTTGAAATAAATTTGAATTTTATTCTGTTTTCGATTTGATAGCCCCGAATAACACTTGACCCAAGCACTTGGCCTGACAGACGAAATAATTCTTCTTAATATTTTTTCCTTTCATCTTTTTTTGTCATTTTTTAAATTAATTAATTTAAAACAAAAAATTCATAATCCAAAATTGTCGCAATCGAAATCCGGTGTCAGTTCAAAAGATCTTTGTGCGCTAGGGTAGCCAAAATGCGGTTCTATGAAGCAGCTTGTGGAACCATAATGAACCACTAGCTCTTACTCCCTCTCCCGCTCCCACTCTCGCACACTCACTTGCTGATAAGCGGTGCGTGCTGCTTCTCTCGACTTTTTAATGGATCTCATTTTCATTGGTTTTTTATTAATTTGTTACAAGCGAGCAAAGGTCAAACAGCAAAAGGTTTACAAAAATAAATATATTTATATATGTATATATATATATATATGTATATGTATGTGTGTGTGCATACATATGTATCTGTATGTTTCCCCACTTGGGGGCCCTCTTTACACATTATTTTTATTTATTTTTTATTTGTGTTGCTCTTTTCGCTTTTTGTTTAATATTTATGTATCTGCGTTGTAAAATAGTTCAAGTTCGTTGTTGTTGTTCGTTTCGTGTTGTGTCATATACATTAAGAAAACTAGATCATGCGAGCTCTCTATATATACGTATATGAATCTGTGAGGATGCTGAACAGAAATGTGAGAAAGATTCTTGATGCTTCTAGCCATACATACATATATATGTATATATTCTCTAGAAATCATATTCATGAGTTGGCCAGATGTTGTCACCATGGCTAAAGGAATGCCATTAATATAAGATTGTCTCACGAAATCAAAGTGTTTCTATAGCTATTGCACATTTACATGTCCCGAGAGGAAACAATTTTATAATAATACAAAAATAGAGCTATCTTCAACTCAAATTCTATACCCATATATCAAAACTTCAAATGTGTTCTTTGAGAATTACAGAGTTCTTAATAAGAATTTACAATTTTCGAATTCTCATATATTATAGATAATATACTATAACAGTTTGTAGCAACTCCAGTGTCTCTGTTAAAATTGAACATGATTTAGCTTTTAGCTTAACATAACATGACTCACAGGATAATTGATGCCGTGTGGCCTAGCAACTGTCAAAATTGTTTGATCATGTTATGTTAAATGTTTAGCAGAACTCTGTTAAGCTCTGTGCGTTTGTGCTCATACAAAGGATTGCATTAAGCTAAGCAATTGAATTGGTTAACCGCTTAGCTCAGATGAGTTCACTCTCTCGCACTCTCTTCTCACTCTCTTTGCTACTCACCTTGGCATTCAGCAGCGGTACATGGCAGGCGTTCAGAACGAGGACAACGGCGAAGAGGCGCCAGAGCAGCGACAGCGCGTGTCGCTGCCGCAACGTCGCGGCCGTTTGGGATCCCGTTGATCCCATATCGTTTGTGTGTTTGTGTGCGCGCACGCGTGTGTGTGCGTGTACGGGATATTTGGCAGCTATTCGGTTATTTTGTTGTTGGTTTCAACTATTTAATTGTATTGGGCAGTTGCTGGGTTCGTATTCGAGGTGTGGCGTCTGATGCGTTTAGACGTAAATAAATGAAAAAAATTACGATGTTTATGGCACTGCAAGAGAGAAAAACGAATTTTCAGCAATTGTTTGCTCAGGAACAGGCGAATTAATTTATCTGCTGCATCAGCAGGAAAACAACAAATTAAAATGCAAGAAAAAAACGTCTGACAAAAAACGGGAGTTTTATGTATGAAACCGAAAGCTGCACCCGCCAAAGCAAAAAGTGCAACAACAAAAAAAAGACTGAAATCAAAACGCGAATTCGCCAGAAAACGCAGAGCAAAAAAAAAAACAGTTAAAGAAGACGAGGAATATGGGATAAAATTATGAAACAGGGCTTAGCAGAAGCTGTCCCGAAAATCGAAATTCCAACAGAGCTCGAATACTGAAATTTTGTTCACTCGCTGTTATTTCGCTTCTTCATTTTCTACTTTTTTTTTTTGACTTTTCATTGATCTGGCCGAAGTTTTATTTTTTTCTGTTTTGCCTTTTGAATATCGCGCGCGACGTTAATAATTAATAATTTTTTTGTTCAGCCACTTTTTGTGTTTAATTTAATTTGTTCGGTTTGTTCATAGTTTCGCACTTTGTACGTTTAAGTTTTTTGTTTTTTTTTTTTTTGACTCGGCTGCAGTAAAAAAAAAAAAAAAAAAAAAAAAAAAAATGCTTAGATAGGAGTGAAAATTTAGCCAAAAGTCACAAAATGTTTAGCGATCATGCAAAGGGGCGCGCGCGTGTGTTGTACGTTATCCTTCGTAGCACTGGAAAAAATTTTTATTTTTCTTAACACTTGGTTTGAGCACTCTAAAAAAAAATGTAATTTATTGTCAAAAAATTGCATTTGCACAACGGGCACGAAACGTGTATGAAGAACAAGAATAACAATTAAGAGACAGCCTGGCGGCCAGGCGAATCGCACTCGATGTCGCCGTCGCTGAGGTCCGCTAACTAAGGCAAACGCACCGAAAATTGTGCGACCGTCTCGTACAACGGCGCGCAACCGAATGTTAAAGTGGAAGAACTTTGACGCGGACGCCGCTGCACCGTAGAAGAAACGTGCGACACGGCCGACACGAGCGCACGAGCCCGAAGACAAACGAAGCGCTAGCATAAGCGCGCACTTACACACACCCAAATACATATATATGCGATGTACCATGGCGCAATATGCGTAAAAAGCCGGCTAAATATTTATACGAGAACTTCTTTGGCTTAATAAACTACAGCAAGTGGCGAAATTGATATATTTTATATATATATTTTACGAAAGTTATATATTTATTAAAGTATAAATGGCAAAGCTGAAACTAAAGTATGTATTTAAGAAAATTAAGAGAATAGAGAATATTGCGACAGATTATATGTTGCGCGCGATGCTTGCAGTTATTCGATTGGCGAATATAGTGCGATTCGTACCACTTCTTTGCGATGCGTGTCGTCATGTCGTGGGTGGCTTTGGTCGAGTGGCTCTGTCGACGTCGCGGCTGCAAAATGTTTATCGCGCAGCGCGCTTGTGCAACTGGCTCTCTTCATATTTATCGGCAACAGGATGCAAAGCTGATGCTTTGCACTAAATTCGCCTTATGGCGAAATGAGCGAATGGTGTGTGAGAGAGCTGGTGGTTTGGTTGGCTGGTCGGGTTGGTTGTGTGGAGAATTGGAAGGCCGGGACGAGGGCGCTGCAAACGTTGCCTAGAGGGCCTGGGCGCAACTTTATCGCTGTCAACTTGAGCGGCCAGCGCACATTTAACTGGCACAAATACAACAACAAATGCAACGAATGCAACGCCGCTGCCAACGCGTCGCGACGTCAGTGCTGCGCTGCTGCTGCAGCTCTGTAGGTCAACTGATAAATTGGCGTGAAGAGACCAACACTAACCGAAAAGGCAACCCAAATGCAGCACCCACTGATAGAGAGCAATGTGAACATGCCCAAGTGTATATATGTATGTATACATGCATACATGTGCATATCTTTCTACGTAGATGTATGTATGTATGTATGTATGTGTGCATACTATGTGTGCTTGAGTGTAGATTTGTTATTTATCTTATGGTCGCTAGGTGGCGCTGCTTGCATTTGCTATTAGTGCAGTTCTTTTTGTTTCGCGTCTCCTTTTCAACACTTTTTGTGCTCAGCTTTCAAGTTGTTTGCATTTCGAACTACCCAGTGTGACCGTACCGACTGTTAAACACCCTTTAAAAATATACAATTGAAATTTAAATTTAATAATTATTTTTTTACTTATAGTAATTTTTATTCATTTAGTCTTATAATAAAATAAATGTGCGTAATAATATATCTAATAAAAATAATAATTGCAGCTAAATATGTATTGAGCACAAATACGCCATCTTCGCTCAACAAATGCGAGGTATTTGAGTCAATGCTGTCTGACAGCGAGTTCAAGTGGGAGAAAAGTTGGAGAATGTGAGAGTTTTTGTTACTTTTTACTTGTTTTTGGGCCGTTGTTCATATTATTGCACTGCGGAACAACATTTCACTTTCCAGACCCAAAAAGACCCAGACCAGATATGGAAGAGATATAGATGGTTGCAGTTGAAGATATAAACAAAGTAAACTGAAGTGTATTTCTGTTTTTTATAGAATAGAATAAGGCTGGTGAAAAACATATTTTCGCTCAGAAAATAAAATGGTAGCGCTCTGGCTTATAGCTATTGAAACCCTAGAAAGCCAATTTGCAGAGATACTTTACATAAAAATGGGCTTGGTTAGAGCTAGACTTAGGATGTATGAAAACATTAGCAGAACGAATGATGGAGGGATCTGTCACAAAAGTGATAATGTATGATATAATGTTAATGGTAATCATAAGCTGGGATCACAAAATCACGCAGTTACTTGGAAAGCTATCACAAATGCAGATCAACCAATGAGGATCCTTCATAAGGCATAATTACGTTACAATTGTAATCGTGTCAAATCATATCAGCAAATATCCTTCGGATCTCGATTACAAAATACATAATGAGGACTAACTATTTCCCACAGACATAAATGCAAAATGAGGAGAGTCATCCTAAAGGAGTTTCACACTCAGCCCTGACATTCGCTGAGGAAGAGTTTAAGATTTCAGATCTTTTACATGCCGATAAAAAGACTTCTGGGAGGAAGGCGGAGATACTGAAATCGATAGCAATAAGACGGCTTACCCCTTATTTTAGAAAGCAAAAAACGGGTTTTTGTGGAAGCTCCCACAAACAGGAATTTTCCCTTATTGGCAAAGACAATACCCTAACACATTGTCGGCATACCGCATACTATGCGACTGTCAATATATTCAAAAAGGCTAATGAAACTCAGATTGTTTCTGGTAGCAGAGAATACTGAAGGAGCTAGTCCCAGACAGGACGGGCCTAAAACCCGGAAAATACACAATGGGAGCTATTGAAGAACTGATTCAGTCTGCCAGGAAAAAGTAGAGGAAATGCATAATGCATGTCAGATGGCTCTACCAGGCAAACTGAATGCCAAGGACATATTTAGACATATTTAGCGTTAGGTATATATTCTTTGGTGCTTGCATATGCCGTATCACTTAATGGACATGGTTTCCAGGAGAGATCTGTGCGGAATGCTACACAAGCAGATACAGTAGATGACCCTAAGACCAGATCTATAGCTTATTAGCAAACATGATATCCTAAGGTGGAAATAGCTGAAGATACGTTACCAAAGACTTAACAAGCTCATAGCTAAGTTATCAATATACCAATGTATTGCCACACATAACATCCCATACATATCCAGTGCCTGCCAGGATCGAGGCGAGTTTTAGCGAATTGGCAGGAGCTGTCACTGGGCGGCCAATTGCTGCCACCTCCTGTTGCACCCGTTGGCCGCCCAAATGCCACCCACGGCTGGCGGCCTTCCGATTGGCGCCTTCTCAGCCGAAGGCGCACTCAGCGCATGCGCCAAACCCGACCCAGTCCGGTCCACCCCCTAGTGGCCGCCTAAGCGCCCAACCGCCCAACCGCCCAGCCGCCCGGCTGGCAACGACCAATCAGCGCGTTGTGTTTTTCGCCGTAGAAGCCGAGCCAAAAGATTTGAATTGTGGCTTCCGTTGTTGATAGCCGCGCGTCTAAAAATAATTTTAGATGAGCATTTTAATTACTTGGACGAAAAAGATAATGCGAATGCTGGCTCTACAGCTGCTGCTGCTGCTGCTGTTGCTGTTGCTGCTGCTGCTGCTGCTGTTGCCTCTGCCGCCACTGCGACCTGTCCTATCAGCGGGACGCCACAGTATTTGGGTCAGTCTGACCAAGAACACGCCAAGATCTGGGCGGATGCCCGCCTTTCGACTGAAGTCAAGAGGTGGCCGCGACTTATCGCCTTATGCATATCACTCTAAACATACCTACACACACACATAAGTATATATATATGTAAATATTATAAAAAACTTTGTATGAAGTTGAAAGCCGCAATCCGAGAAAACTAATCAAATAAAAGGGCTGTCTGAACACCAAATACCCTCTATATAGTATATAGTATGTTTATAATATATATAGTTTATATAGTATATAATGTGAAGTAAAATAATATTTTTATCGCCTTACTCTGTGATTTTCATAAGATAAAACCACTTTTACTCAAGTAATTTAAGTATTCATCTACATATAAATGTAGCTCTACGGCCATTCGGTCTACACAATTCAGAAACTGTTTCTAATACCCTACACAGTGAGCATTGAAAAATGTTATCAGCCATCGAAGAGTGACGCAAATGTTAAGGCCAAATGGAATTCCACCACGATGGCTGTTAACGTTGTTGGAAAGCTTCCAGCTGCAGTTTGACAGTCATTGTGCGCGCGCAAGCTTTTAGCCAAGTCAAACAAGCTTTGCGAAAACTTTCAATATCCAAATGTAAGCCAAATTCCCAACCGTCTCACAGTGCAAAACTAATTCTTATTTAACTTATATGTTCTTAGGTCGATTCATGGGAAAATTGAAAACTTTCATTACCTCAAAAATATATAGAAAAACGGAGTATAGCTCAACAGACTTCATATATAGAGTATTGCATACGGTATAGCATAACCAAAATAAGACAGTAATTTTCTTTAGGTAAACCATTCTGTTTGATGAAATACTTGAAAGTTAACAAGCCGAAGATCCCAGTTGCCAGTGCTTAAATTTTAAGTTACTCTTCATTTTATATTATTTCTAATTTCCACTAAATAAATTATTCTTAAGACTATGAGCTCTAAAAATATCTGTGTTCAAGTTCTCATCATAAATACGTAAACTACCAATATATCTAACTGTAGATACCTTATCTTATACATTTCAAAACATTAAAACCAAAACTTTGTTTTAAAATTCTATATACCATATTTAGAGTCTTGAATATTTCAGAATATATTCAAGTCGATAACTTACTTAATTCTGAGACTTGCACGCATTTCAATATTATAATATCAATCTGAAAGTTTCATGAAAATAGTTCATCCACAATAAAAGCTATTAGTTAGCTATACAGTTTCCCTAGTAAGATCACACTGCACTATGGATGAACATAACGATATATTGGCATTAACTGTAAATTTAAAGATAGAGCCATGAAATTTTGCACACACGTTAGTCATATTAATACCAAATTCACCATGTAAACCTGAATCAGCTGAGCAGGCTACCAGTAACTCAAATTTTTCAAATTTTAAAATTGTAGTTTTTAAACTGTAGGAGATACATATAAACTTTTGCGGTTTATCACGGCCCCTGTGAGCGTAGATATATCCGCCATATATTTTTCATCTTTGGTGGTCAACACGAATATACATTCAAAGCTTCAGTCTTCTAGGCTTTCAACTAATATGATTTCTGGCATACCGGTAAATTCATTTTTCGATATACCACTTGATCACAGCATACAAAAATTTTGGTGAAGTAACAGGCGAACAAAATTAGAAGTAAGGAAATAAGGAAAAATTATATTAAATTTTAGTTCATGTTGAACAACAGTGGAGTAATAGTGATTCACTAATACACTGTTAACTAACATTTTTCACCGCGCTTCTCAT